TTCCTTTCCTCTCATCGTTACAGCAAATTGCTGTTCTTGCGGTGCATTACCTTTCCCTGCCGCCGCTGCGGCTCTTCACCTCTGGCGTTGCTGCCACCGCGGCCTTTTTCCTTTCTCTCATCGCTACAGCAAATTGCTGTTCTGGCGGTGTACTTCTCCTCCCCCGCCGCCGCTGCGGCTCTTCACCTTTGGTGTTGCTGCCACCGCGGCCTTTTTCCTCTCATCGTGACAGCCGTTTTGCTGTTCTGGCGGTGTACTTCTCCTCCCCCGCCGCCGCTGCGGCTCTTCACCTTTGGTGTTGCTGCCACCGCGGCCTTTTCCTTAGACAACTACGGCCTAGTTTGGCTGATGCCAAACTCTACCGTGTACAGACAAAAGATATAAAGGAAGATATCAATTCAAACCTACCATGCACAAAAGAAAGATGAAAAGGGAGACATCCTTGCTCAAACCACGACATTCGTTGCAAACGGAAGGACTAGTTCAAAGCAGGAAAATAAGGGAGTCCAAAGATATGGAGGATCGGGTCGAGAAATATGGTTGTCATGGTGGAAGTTGTCCGTTGGAGATATGTTTGGTTGGAAGAGGTTGGCAGATGTTGATCCAGTTGGTGGACAGTTGGTGGACAGTTGGTGGTGACCGGCCGGTTTTATTGTCGTCGCTGGGTTTTGTGGATGGTAGCTAGCGTTATCTAACCAGCCAGCAGCTGCAGCCAGTTATATTGCCTAAATGGGCTACGCTACACAGCTATCAGCCAGCAGCCAACAACCAGCATCAGCGAGTATGCGCGTGTCGCGGCTGTTGCCGCGCGTGTACAGTCTGTCGTGTTTTCGTTTGTGGTGCCCACAGCCCTGGTTGTGCACAATTGATTTTCATTTGTTTGGGGACTACCTAATTAAGGGGAGGCTACACCTTATTAAATAATAGATGAATAAATAAAGCTGAACCATGATATCTATTTCCGCTTTATTTATTTACTTATTTATTTACTCTGTTTTAAATATGTTATTATAGATTAGTAATGCGCCTCAGCCTAATAAGCTAAGGCGTGCATTAGGGTGCCGGGGTTGTAGAGGTTATGGGTTTTCCCAGGCCTTTGCACCTCCTGTCACCGTATTTTTACTTTTTTTCATTATGTAGTCAGCAGCAGCAGCAGCGCAGCAGCAGCCGCCGGCAGATCAGCAGCAGCTGCAGCAGTGGCCCGGGCCCGGGCCCTTTATCGCCAGGGTTTGCGGCAGCTTCCCTGGTGCCAGGACCCGAATGCAGGGTCGACTGGCTGCCGGGACTCGGGGCGTACGAGTCGTCCGGCCTGCCGGCACCCGCACGCAGGGGCCGGCCGTACTTTTATAACGCCCGTCTCAGGTGGGTGGATGGGTGGGTGGGCGACGTGGGTGAGGGTGTGGTGCGTACTTCGTGATTTGGGTTCAACTAGTGGTCGTGGAAAAAGGCCGCAGGGCCGCAGCGCACGTGTCGCAACGAGGCCTTGTGACTTTTGGGCAAAATAATGACATTTGGTGTTTTACCCCCCTCCCCCCCGTGTATGCTGCCCCCTTACCTATCCCCTCTGGCCGTTTCCCCCTTCATCACGCACCGCCTCTTCAGGTGCGGCTGGGGCATCAACCTGTGCGCCCCAGTGGCACCGAGCGGGCGTTGCTGATGATGGGCCCGGCTGAGGTGGGTGCGGATGGGCTTGGGGTTTTGGTGCATGGGGTGTGCGTCGTGGGGACCAGCAGCGGTACCCTTGCTTGCAACTGTCACCTAATTATGTGTGTGTTAGTTGTGTCGTACTGCTAACCGTATTTTGGCCTCCCGCGCCCTTCCCCCGCCTTGTCCCTTTTCCTTCAGGTGCACTGCTGGGTGCAATTCCTCCGCACCCAGCTGCACCCAGCCGGGCGCCGCCGCTGCTGGCCAGTTGGCTAGCGGCGGCGGCAACGTTGGCGGCGGCATATAGACGCATCATCATCATGATCATCATCACCATCATCGTCATCATCATCATCATCATCAGTTGCCGCCATTCCAATCAACTGCGA